ATTTCGAAAATTCCCTATGTATTTCCTTGGCAAATTTAATGTAGTTTTCAAAAATTTTTTGTTTTTTCTAGTTCAAAATTTACAGCTGTTAGCTAGTACAGCACGACCTTTCAACTTTGGCGGTATGTTTACAGATTTCTAGGCATCATTAAAAAAATAAAAATGTTTTTATAGACCTTAAAATGTATATAATAAAAGGCAAAAAGCGAATTATTTTTTATTCTATTTTCACACGAAGGATCCTCAAAATTTAGGCCCGTCAAGATAATGTTACTCCTTAAGAAATTATTAAATTTTTTTCGTATAGCGCGAATTAGAAAATATCGAGGGATTGCATCGTCTTTATGATATATTAAAAAATATTTTCTTACTTAATAAGACTGCCTTGTTTGAAATCATGTTTATCTTTTGATGAAAAGAAGCCCGGTAATAACATAGTTGTTCCATCTTAGAATTGCTAGTTTACAAGGTCTTCTATTTTTCAATAACCTAACTAATCATTACAATGATCAATTATGCCTATAATACAATAGCTACCAAAGATCCCTCTGTACAACTTGTATTTGAATATATAATTTTGATGACTGTTGTTTTTAATATCAGTGTAAAGTATGTCCTGCATACTATTGATCTACAAAGTGAAACTCCATGGGATAACAAATCAGTGTTGTTATTATACATAGAATTGATTATTGGAATACTAAAGATAATAAAATCGAGGTGAAAATTTCCAACTTTATTTTAATTTAATCGAGATCTTCTTTCAGGTTTTTCTCTGTTACCTTTGTGATCTTAATGATCAAGCTGTTCACATTACCCTTATTTGCATTGCGTCCTATGTATTATACAATGCGAGATTTCAAAAAAATATTTCATAATATCTGAATGTCTGGAAGAGCCATCAGGAACATGAACACTCTTTATCCAGATGCGACAACTAAAGAATTGGCTGCTACTGATAATTTCTATATTATATGCCGGTAAGTGTCGCAATGAATAAAATCATTATGTCATAGTATCTGCAACACGATCTAATGTATCACACTCACTTATAGAGCCAGAGAGGAGATGGCAGCTAGTAAAAAATTACCATGTAATCATATCTTCCATACTGCATGTTCTTGGTTCCAATGCCAACAAATATGCCTGACGTGTCGTCGTTTGAATATCCTGAGGCCTACGCCAAATAATGCATCATCTAGACAACAAAATCCTCCTCAGCCTGGACCGCAAATACCTCCGCAATCTCAGCAAGCACCTGATGTTAATCCTATTGGTATGATTTTCTGTTGTTTTTTAAACTTTACATATAAGAATGAATGTTATATATTTTTAATATATTTTTTATTGTTAAATATAGGCTCACCTTTTCACTTCCCAGTATTTTGGGCTGGATTATCAGCTCCAAGAATGCCACAGCAGCAGCAGCATCAACAGCAACCTCCAAACAATGCTGGAAGTATTCTTCCCACTTCAAAATCCAGTACCACCTACTAGAAATATTCCACTTTTTCCGTCGCTATTCCCTACAATAGTACCATTGCTACCTATTCTTGTATCACTCCCAAACTTAATTGAATTGAGCGAAGAAGAACTGAGAACAATGGAAAGTAATATGCGACAAGCTGTACAAGCCAAAATACAAACGCTGCAAAGGATTCAACTCTTATTGGATGCGGCAAATGCAATGATGAATCAATATCAAACAACAGCTGCTACAGCGAAGTAAGTATAATATTTTATGAGTAATATATATGTATCTGTATGTAATATTCGTATATGTAATATATAAAATATGTGACCTAAAATTATAGCATTCCTGTGAACAATAATTCTGCAAGCAATATCGACAGTACATCGGATATGTCTACAATGTCAAAACCAGGGACGAGCGGTACAGTGAACACAAACACTGGAGTTTGTAGCGATAATTCTCAAGTTAAAATAGAAATCTCCTATTTCCAAGTACGTCAAAGGAAACTGCGTCTACTACAAGTATATTAAAGGAAGACACGTCTGCATCTAATGATACGATAGATTTATCTAAAACTGAATCTTCAAGCGAACAAGAAATGTTGCGCAGACTACAAAAATTTGCATCTCCACCGACAACAGAATAAATAAAGAACATAAAATTGTGTGATAACTTATGTAACATAATAATCTTTAACTTGGTTTATTATCGGCCTCAATTAACGTGAGTGGTCAATAATTGAGGACTGTAAAAACTAAAGTTTGGATTTTGTGATCGATACGAGAGAAAGGGGGAGAGAGAGAGAGAGAGAGAGAGAGAGAGAGAGAGAGAGAGAGT